GACCAGCCTGGGCTACATAGGTCCAGGTCAGTCACAACTACACAGTGAGACCCTGTCTCAACCAAAGAAAAAAAATAATGGGAATTATCCAAGTTTTACAGATGAAACCAATTTATAGAGGCAGAATCAAGTCCAAATTCCTTACTAGACTTCAAAAACCTCACATAATCCAAACTTGGGGAAGGAAGGTGTCCTGAAGAGTGAACCCAGAGCCTTCCCACTGAGCTACATCCAAAGCCTTTTTTTTTTTTCTTAAATAGGGTCTCACTAAATTGCTTGGGCTGGCTTCAAACTCATGGTCCTTCTGACTCAGCTTCGCAGAGTGCCAGGGTTACAGATGTGCACCGTCACACCCACCCTGAACTGAACCTATATTCCAGCCTCATCTTCAGTTATTCTCAAGCAAAGTGGACATGCTCTTCTGGAGCATAGCTTATCTCCAGACCTTTGATCATGCTGTTCCCTCTATATTCATTACCTCCCCACCCTAGACAGTATTACGTACCAAAGCTAGGCATTTTTTTATGCATTCTCAACTTTTAAAAAGTAATTCCCAGGATTCGTATGGATTACTTTGTAATAAATGTTATAAGATGTGGTGGGTTGATGGCTCAAAGGTGGACAGTTATGAAGAGGGACTAATATTTCTAATATTTAAGAAGCACTTACTATGCACCAGACACTATTCTATGCACTTTACATATTGTTCTCACCATAATCTCAAAAGGTATGTGGTATGATCAAAATGTGGTAAAGCTTTAATATTTTTAAATATAGTTACAATTTTTTAAAAAAATCATAGCCAGGCATGGTGGCACATACCTGTGATCTCATCACTCAGGAGGCTGAGGCAGGAGGATTATTGCAAGTTTGAGGCCAGCCTGGGCTACATAGTTCAAAGACAGCCTAAACTACATAGTGAGACCCTGTCTCAATGAAACGAAACAAAACAAAACCACATTGTCATTGCCAGGCGTGGTGAGCACCCTGTAATCCCAGCACTCAGGAGGCTGAGACAGGAGGATTGCTATGAATTCCAGGTCAGTCTCAACTGCATAGTGAGACCCTGTCTCCAAAAAAAAAAAAAAATTGTCATTAATCCCCCTCAAAGTCCCATGCCTTGCTGTGAACATATTTATTTCATTGTCCTTGCTGCTTTCTGAAGCAGTTCCGAGAGTCCTCTTTTGTGAATGTCTTCAGTTGTGCTGTCGCGACTGCCTCAATGTCCTAAATCAATTCAGAATGTTTACCTTTCACAGTCATTGTGACTTTGGAGCAGAGCCAGATGTGATGAATAATACTTTTACAAACCTGCCTTTCCATTGGATGGCAGTCACACCAAATAAAAATACTCTCAAAAGAGAACTTTCAGAACTTCATCAGAGAGTGGCAAGAGTAGCAGGATAACTGTGTTTGAAGTGACAAGAGTTTTTTGAGGGGGATTGATGGCACTGTGTCTTTTACTGTAAAAACTTAAACTACTCTGATCACACCTTAAACTGTTCTCACCTTACACTGAGGAAACTGAGGTACTGAGAGGTTAAGTGACTTCCTAAGCTCATGCAGCCAGTAATGGTAGAGCTGGGATTTGATTCTATATAAGTCTTGCTCTAAAGATACTCCTAGTAACTACATTGGTTGATTGGCAGGGAGGGTCTCGTTTTGTAGTTCAGGCTGTCCTTGAATTCACTGTACAGCCCATGCTGGCCTCAAACTCACTTCGACCCTCCTGCCTCATCCACCTAAATGCTGGGTAACAGGAATGTTTCACCATCCCCCCAAAATAACTACATTTTAAAGACAAAATACTGCCTTTCATTTTCGTTAAATAAAACTGACACTTCAGAAGGCTGCATTGTGTCTTACCCTTGGTTTCAGCACCTCTGTCTACCGTCACAGGTCTGCACAATCTACATTGAAAAATTGATCTAGAGGACAAATTTGTAAACATTGAGCCTTTGTCTCAGAGTAGCATGACCAAAGACAAGATCTCAACTCCTAGCCACCAGCAACATTGGACTGGCACAGAGGCAATGGCATTTCCTCAAAAACTCAAGACTCCTGCAAGAGCCAGTACAGAGCCCAGTTAGTTAGGAAATCAAGGTTCAGAGAGGGGGAATGAGAACTTCAAGGTCACAAAGCAGCTGAGACGCCTGCTCACAGATTTAGAGTATAAGCCTAACCAACATCCTGCCATGGAGCCTGTAGGAGGCCAGTGTGAAAGAACCAAATCCCTAGCTGTTCTTGGTAAATACTGGGTTAGAAGTATATATTGTTCCAGATGATTTCAGTTGTAGTTGCCAGACACCAAACTTAAACAGGCTTTTTGTAACAGAAAAGTCCCTAAAGGTTGAGGACATGCTTGTAATCTTAGCTACTTAGGCAGCTGAGGCAGGATTGCAAGTTCCAGGCCAGCCTAAGCAATTTAGCAAGAGCTTGTCTCAAAATTGGGGATGTTGCTCAGGGTTCCCTGGATTCAGTCACTCTAGTATTGCATGGGGAAGGTTCCACATGAAGGCTTCAGGTTTGGCTAGATCCAGGAGTTCAAATGATGCCCTCTTTCTCTCCATCTCTCAATGCTGGCCATCAAACCAAGGCCTTCACACATATTAGGCAAGTGCTCTACCACTGAGCTACACCCCCAGCCTCAGAAAAATTATTTCCTGACGTTTTCATTGTCAAACAAGTTGTTTTCATTGTGAATTAAATTCTCTCCCCAAAAGTGACATGAGAGCCACCAAGAGATCCTAGTTTATATCCTACTTGCTTAGCCATCCCTGGGGCTGGGGAGAGACAAATGTTTGCCAACAGAGCCTACAAGTACATCTCATTGGCCTGGCTTGGACTGCTAATATTACCTCCCCCATCCCAGCTAGTCACTGGCCTGAGGTGGCAGTATGTTAGGATGCTTTGATTTGCCAAGCCAGTATCATCTGCCCACTGGAACTGCAAGGTGTGATAGCTCCACCAAACTACCAATGGAATGAGATGGAGGAAGGTTTCCCTAGAGGAAAACCGGTGTTCTTATCAGGAGGAATGGATGATGGGCAGACAAAAGCAATAATCAACCTGAATAAGGTGGGCTGGAAGCAAGGCATGGTGGCACACGCCTGTCATTCTGCACTATTGGAAGCCGAGGCAAGAATCTGGCAAGCTCCAGCCTGGTGTGGGAAATTTACACGCTGTCTCAAAATGAGTAAATACGGTGGGGGATTTAGTTCAGTGGCGCTATGCCTGCCTCGCAAGCGTAAGGTCCTGAGTTTGATCCCTGGTACTGGAAGAAATAATTAATTAAAGGGCTGAGGATATAGCTCAATGCAAAGACCCCGGGTTCAATCCCCAGTAGCAAAAAACTGGAAGTTCCAGGGCTGGTGTTGTAGCTGAGTGGTAGAGCACTTGCCTAGTATGCATGAGGCTCTGGGTTTCATCCCCAAAAGAGAGGAGGGCTCAAATCCTCCAGTGGCTTCCTGTCTCATACATAGTAAAAACCATACAACCTTGTATGACTCATTACTTCTCCCAACCTGCTTTCCTGTCTGTTCCATCTAAGCTACACAGGCTGCCTTGTTATTTCTTAAATATACCACACCATTTACCTGAGGGTCTTTGCTTTGACTGTTCCTTCTGTCTAGAATTTCCCTTCCCCAGATAGCTACATGAGGTGTTCATTGCAGCCCTTTGATGAAGCCCTATTTAAATTTACAGCCCTTATCCCCCTTTCCTGTTTTTTCTTTACACCAATTATTCCCTTCTAACAAACTACAAAATTTACTATACTTATGTCTATCTCCTCCCATTTGACTGTAAGCTCCATAGATATCTATTAAATGTCTACTGATTCAGCCAGGCATGGTGGCGCACACCTGTAATCCCAGCCCTAGGGAGGCTGAGGCAGAAGGATCACTGTGAGTTCGAGACCAGCCTGGGCTACATAGTGAGTTCCAGGTCAATCTCAACTACATAGTGAGACCCTGTCTCCAAACAAACAAAAATATCTATTAATTCATTCAATTAATATTGATATCTATTATGTGTCAAGCACTGTGCTAAGCAATGGAGCTACACGGTGATTAAGACTGCTTATAACTAGTGAGGGAAGTAATACTAGCCGTAGTAGTACATCATTTATCAAATGCTTCCTCTGAATTAAGTGCTTACCAAAAATAAAAACAATGCCTAACATTAATTAAAATAGACTGGCAGCTAGGCGTGATGGTGTGTATACCCGTAATCTTAGCCACTCGGGAGGCTGAGACAGGAAGATCTCAATTTGGAGGCCACCCTGAGCAACTAAGCGAGACCCTGTCAATAAATAAGTAAATAAACAAATAAACAGGGTGAATAACATAGCTCAGTGGTAGAGTGCTTGCCTCGCATGCATGATGCCCTGGGTTCAAGCCCTAGTATCGCAAAACAAGGAAATCCAGACTGTTCAACGTGCATTATTTCATTTAATCCTCAACCAAAACCTACACGGTGAATATTGAAAAGACCAAGAAATAGGATTTAAAGCTCAAAATTGGCAGAGTCAACATCTGAAATAAGGTGAGGACAGCAAGAATGTACAAACAAAATGAGGTAAGATGGGAGAAATATTTAGAAGTTAGCGTCAGCAAGACTGGGTCAAAGATTGGGTGTGTGGTATCTGAGGGAAAGAGGGAAGTGATACCAAGATTTTGGGGTGGTCCAAAGTGCAACAAAGCCCAGGAGAAAGATGAAAGCCCGATTCTGGACGCATTGTTTGAGGTGCCCGTGGGCTGCTGTTAGATACAGACTGCCTGCAGAATCAAAGATGTGTTTCAGCTTCTCCCTCGAACCTGAAAAGGCACACTCGGAAAGAACAGGAGATGCGTTCCCCTCCCTCCTGGGTCTACTCAGCACCAGTTCCAAGAAGGGCGTGGGGTACCGCGAGACAAAGAGCGCTTCAGCACTGCCTTGTCCCGGCGGTCCCTTTAAGAAGCGCGCTCCCAGCTCTCAGCCCGCCTTGTATGCAAATTTAGCGACGAGGCGGGAGCGCGCGGCTGAAAGCCGGGGACCGTGCTGCGGCGATTAGTCCTCTCCCGGCCGCCGTCGCCTCCGACATATTGCCCGCAGGAGCTGCGGCGGCGAAACGGAGAGCGCCGGGGGGAGGAGATGGGTGAGCAGAGCGGGTCAGACCTTGTCCCGGCAACGAGCGGGCGCGAGGGTCAGGCTGGCCAAGCTACTAATTGCTGCCCCAGGCGGACTAGGTCCCGGCGAGGGGCGGGGGAGGGGATGCGGGTGCAGGCGGGCACCGCCCCCTCCTGTCTTTTCGCGAGGTGGGGCCTGTTGTGGGGGCGGGACATTGGGGTGGTAGGCGGGGCTTCTCGTTGAAAAGGACTTGTGGGGTTTGGCCTTTGAGGAGGACCGGTTCGTCCCTGCTAGAAATGGGGGCGGACTCGAGAGTGGGCGTGTCTCCGCGCCAAGGGCGGAGTTTCTGGGCTGTAGGCGCTTGTGCGGAGGCGAACTTTTTGGGTTGTGAGTGCTTATTATGCAGGCGGTGGGGCGCGAAGGAGTCCTTTCAAACCGAGAGAGACTATTCTGGAATGGGACTTCTGGGCTGAGAAAGCTTTTACTGGCTTGTAGGCGGGGTTTCAGGCTGACAGTTGTGTGTGGGCGGGGCTTATGGTTTGAGGGGCTTTACGTGGGGGCAGAGTTCTAAAGATGGGGAGTGGATGTGGGCAAAGCTTTTGCGCTGAAGGTGTTTGTGTGGGGTTTTCTAAGCCAAATGTAATAGTGTGTGAACAGATCTGATTTGGGGAGCTTGTTAAGAGCAGAGCTTCTGAACAGTCTTTTCTTGGAGACTTGTGATATAACCACCTGAATTGAGGGGCTAGGAGCTGGTGTGTTCATTTTTATTAGTACATGTTTGCAGAACATGACGATTACATTCATCGTGGAGAGTTGAGACATGTACGTGACACGTCTTATTTTCACCTACCTTTCCTCACTTTGTCAGCCCCCCCCCCCGTTTCTTGGTCCCCTTCCCATTTGCGAAAGATCTGTCTCCCTAGTTCCTATTGTGGTTTCTTTGCGAGTAGAGGCTGCTATGTTGCCATTTGGAGTATAAACAGGTTATAATTTCGTTCAGGTTCTTAGGTACTTTGTGCAGGGTAGTGCTTAGGGTCTTGGGCTAGTCTGCTAAGCCTAGGAAAATAAGTTATGAATACAAGTTCTGGTCCACAGCCACAGAATTCTCCCAGAGCCCACATCTTTGATTCTAAGTCAGGCCTTGGATCCTACCCATGAGACACCAGGGTTGAGCCTCAGGGTCTTGAGAAAAGTGTGCTCTCAAAGGTCCCCAAAATTTTAAGCCACCAGGAATTTGTTCAGATAGGTTCCAGTGTACCAGAGTTGAAAGCTCAGGAATCACACCCAGGTACTGTCTCTGACACAATGTAAGCTCAGCTTCCTAATCTGAAAAACTTACATTTCATTTGTTCATCAGCATATACTTATATGTTGTAATAGGCTTAGGGGAAACAGCAGTGAAAAATACATAATGCTACTGACTTTCCATTTTCATGATAGAGACCATAAGCATTTTAACAAAACGAATTAGAGAATTTCAGAGTGTGAATGGGGTGGGGGGGTAGAATGGAAAGTAATAAAAGAGCTACTAAGAAATGACAATCAGGGAAAGGCTCTCCAGACAGAGTATAAAGCAAGTACAAGAGGTAACAGGAATCTTGGATGCTGAGAAGAAAAAAGCCATGATGGCTACAGCATGGGAATGAGATCAGATAGATGAGGTCTAGATCAAAGGCCCTTGTTAGAATTAAATGATAAATGAGATATTAGGCAACTGTTAGCTAATATCATTGCTGATATCCTTTTTTGTTTTGTTTCACTTTTTTTTTTTTTTTTTTTGAGTGAAGGGCCGTGGTATGTAGTCCAGGCTATGCCTTGAACTTGCTGTGTGGTCTCAAACTCCAGCTTGCCAGGCTGGCCTCAAAGTGTCCTGCCTCAGCCTTATGGGTGCTGGAAGTACAGGCATGTGTCACCATGCCTAGCTTGCTTTTTTCCCTGACATATGCCCTCTGGCTTGAACATCTGCTTTGTGTTGAGTCCCACAGGAGGACGAAGAGGTCCCAATAGAACATCTTACTGTCGAAATCCACTCTGTGAGCCAGGATCCTCAGGGGGCTCTGGTGGGGGCCACACTTCTAGTGCATCAGTGACCAGTGTCCGTTCCCGCACCAGGTAATCTACCTTCCTGTCTCTTATCCCTCACCGTAGCATGTGGACAAGGCTGTCCTTGGCTGGATTTTGAGATGTGACATCCTAGATGACTGGTGGGGGGATAGAGGGGAGTAAATAGCATAAAAAATACTGAAAATACATCTCAGTTGAGATGGTCACTTGAACAGATGCAGTGGGACGTGATAGAATAAACCCGAAGTCCTTGATTTTTGCTCCTGATTTTCTGGTGGCTTGGACATGTTGCCCTTTCTCCTTGGACCTCCTTTTCCTCATCTATAAACTGGACCTAATAATAATTCTCTCCTGGGGGATATTGGAAAACCTGAGTAAATTTAGGGATAAGAAAGACTATCGGCTTTTTGCCAGACAAGATTGGTAGGACTTCATGCTTGTGAACTGCTTTTTTTAAAAGTATACAGTACAGTTACATTCATCATTGGGATCTTGTACCCTTACATGACAGGTCTTGGTTCTCATTTTTTCCCCATGCCCCTGCCCTCCCTTCACCCCCTCCACCCTCCCATATTTACAAAGACTTTGTTTCCATTTTGAATTGCTTTTTTTATCTTACCCCTTAATCCTGTGCTCCAGAAGCTCTTCCTGCTCAGCACCCATGTTATTGTTTTTCCATCCCCAGGAGCAGTTCTGGGACAGGCCTTGCCAGTCCTCCCCTGGCTACCCAGACAGTCGTGCCTCTGCAGCATTGCAAGATCCCTGAACTACCCGTCCAGGCCAGCATTCTGTTTGAGTTACAGCTCTTCTTCTGCCAGCTCATAGCCCTCTTCGTCCACTACATCAACATCTACAAGACAGTGTGGTGGTATCCGCCTTCCCACCCACCCTCCCACACTTCCCTGGTAGGTGCACAAGCCAGGGCCAGGGGTGTGTGTGTGTGTGTGTGTGTGTGTGTGTGTGTGTGACATTTGGTTTTACTTTAGCATAGTCTGTCATCAACCATCACTGTATACTTGGCCCCATGTGGGGGGTAGGGGTGTAGAAAGAACATGAAACTTGTACATTCCTAGTGTGCTTAGGACTACTACACTGGGCATTTTTGAGGCTGACAGATGAATCTGACAATTTTGCCTAAAGACACTCAGAGTCAAAGTAGTATGGGGGAGATAAGCCATAGACTAATACGAATGTTCATGGGTAGAAATAGCCTTGTGCAGAAGAGATAGAAGGACAAGGATATGGGTGTTGAGAGCCAGAGGGCTCATACACCACTCTCTTATCCTCAGGGACTGTCCCACTTCTCTTCTCTGGGTCCTGTTCTACTCCTCTAAGTAATTTCCTGGCCTGACTCACCTGGAGGCCAATGAAGGTCAGAGAATGGGGACAGTCTCTATGGAAAGGACTGGGCAGAGGGAGGTGGAGGGTATGAGAAAAGCCTATGTATGGGCAAAAGACCCATGTGACCCCCAGGCCTCTGCCCCTTGACAGAATTTCCACCTGATCGACTTCAACTTGCTGATGGTGACCACCATTGTTCTGGGCCGCCGCTTCATTGGGTCCATCGTGAAGGAGGTGATTGGGTCCTAGAGGCTGGCCAGGGATTTGGGGACTTCTTTTTCCCCTGGGGGTGCCAGGGGAGACATGCCCAGCCCTTCAACCCTGAGGTATATCCTTGGGGCTCCCTTTGGACTTGTTTGAAGAACATTAATCACATCCTATTGGCTCTCACAGTTTACTGGGCATCAAAGAGAAAGGTCCACCTTGCCGGGTTCAGCCCAGTGTGCTGCATACCTTTCCCTGGGTGGGATCACAGGCTATGATGGGTGGAATTGGGGCACAGGCCCTGTGGCCTCCATCCAAAGCTCCATCCCATCCTATCTCGCCCTGCCCCAGGCTTCTCAGAGGGGGAAAGTCTCCCTCTTTCGCTCCATCCTGCTGTTCCTCACCCGCTTCACCATTCTCACGGCAACAGGCTGGAGTCTGTGCCGATCCCTCATCCACCTCTTCAGGACCTACTCCTTCCTGAACCTCCTGTTCCTCTGCTATCCGTGAGTACCCCTCACTTCACCCCTCACTGCCTCTGCCTTTAGTATGGCTGGGTTGTCTGTCCTCCATATCTTTAGACTCTCAAGCAGGCAGTTATAATATCCTGTCACACTGTATAATGACACACACACCCCCATGCAGAACTAAGGTGGCATAATTTTCCCAATCTCCTTCTGATGGGGAGTCAGAATGGGACTCAGATCTAAGTGTATATCCCAAAGGAACGTCCAAGGAATGCTGTGTCTCTCCTCTCTCTTTCTCTCCTCTCTCTTTCTCTCCTCTCTCTTTCTCTCCTCTCTCCTCTCTCTCTCTCTCTCTCTCTCTCTCTCTCTCTCTCTCTCCTTTCTCTGGTTCCTTTTCTTTCTCTCTTTCTTTGTTTATCTCAGGCTTGGTGTAATTACCTGTGCCTCCCAAGTCTGTATGCTGGCAAGCATCTGCATGTTGGCAAGTCCCTGTGTGGGTGTCTATGCATGAAGCAAACCTGTATGTATGTGTGTCTGATGTGCATGTGTATGTCTTTTCGCTCGCTCCTTCTGTCTCATCAGAACCCAGACTGGGGAGGATAGAGAAAGAGTTTTTGTGTGAGTTCGAGACCAGCCTGGACTACATAGCGAGTTCCAGGTCAATCTCAACTACATAGTGAGACCCTGTCTCAAACAAAACAAAACAAAACAAAAAAACAGAAAGAGTTTCTGGGGAGAGCCCAGGACTGCTCCCTTCTGGCCTAAAATTGATGTTTGACAAGGTGTCTGATTTGACTGCTTGGGGCAGGTTCCTGACTGGCCAGGGATTTTCAGTCATGAACCCTGGTTCATGAACTTCCTGAAGCTGAGCCAGCCCTAGTTCCTGGGAAGCTTCAGAGCTGGACACCTCCCTTTCTATTTTGCATGATTAAGGTGGCACTGATTGGAGTCTCATCACACTTTTTTCAGTTATATCTAGTTTTAATTATTAGAATAACACATATCTTCTAAAAACATTAAACTCTACAAAAGGTTTTGTTGTTTTTGTTGAAGCTAGGATCAAATCCATGCTTGGCAAACACTCTACCATTCAGCTACATCTCCAGTGCCTATAGAAGCTTTTAACATAGAAAATGAAAAGGCCCACATAATCTCAGAAATCCATTAATCATTTGTAACATATTCTTCCAGATATATTCTGAGCAAAACACACACACACACGCTCTCTCTCTCTCTCTCTCACTTCCTTCCTGTTGTCTGTCTGTCTTTCCTTTTTATTTTTATTTATTTTTTTAGTACTGGATATATACTGAACTACATCCTTAGCCCTTATCTATTTATTATTTTATTTTATTTTGAGACAGGGACTTGCTGAATTACTAAGTTCCTCAGGTTGGGCTAGAACTTGTGATCCTCCTTGCCTCAACCTCCCAGAGTTCTGTGCATGTTTTTTGTTAGTTTGTATTTTTCTAAATATGTTTATGCTATGTATGATGTTATATAATTTACTGCACTTTTCACATAATCATATTACTTGGATATTTTTCAATGGAAATACATATGAGAATGGCCCCATATTATTCCAATGTATAGAATTTTCACAATTTATTTGTCTTCTGTCAACTTTTGAATTGTTCTTAGCTTTATTCTTATTTCTTTTTCTTTTTATTTATTTATTTGTTTTTGGTACTGGGGATCAAACTCGGATCCTTGCACTTGCGAGGCAGGTGGCAGAACCACTGAACTAAATCCCCGGCAGCTTTTCCTTATTCTTAACAATGAGGCAGGGGCTGGGGATTTAGCTCAGTGGTTCTGCCACCTGCCTCACAGTCATACGGTCCCGAGTTCTATCCCCAGTACCAAAAAAAAAAAACGAGGCAACACATTTTTCTTACACTCATCCAGTATAATTGTACCACAGATTTTCAGAAGTAAAACAACTACACAAAAGATACGGTATGTCCACTTAAATTTATTTTAGAAATTAACAAATTGCCCTTCAGAAATGTTTACTGTTTAAAACTGTCCGTAGTTGACTTAACACTATAGTTACTACCTGAGCCAAGCATGATGGCACACACCTGTAATCCCAGTACTTTGGTAGACTAAGGCAAGAAGATTGCAGGTTGAAGCCTGGGCAACTTAGCAACTTGACAAAACCTTGTCTCAAAGTAAAACTTTTTTTGGTGCTGGGGATTTAGCTCAGTGGCGCCACCCCTGCCTTGCAAGCGCAAGGTCCTAAGTTTGCTCCCTGGTACTGGAAAAAAAATTTTTTTAAAGGAATGGGAATGTAACTCAGTGTGAAAACCCTGGTTTCAGTCTTCAGTAGCACATACACACACAATAAAAGTATGGTTAGTTCTTGATGAATTGTTCTTAGATACAGACCTCACCTATGTCCATATTTTTTATTTTTTAAATTTTTAACATAATATATCATAAAAAAATTAAATTTAGTGCTAAAAAGCTTATAATGAGAAGCAGTATCCTCCAACCCCACCTCCAGATTTTTAGTTCCACTCTTCAAAAGCAGTCTCTTTCAGGCCGGGGATTTAGCTCAGTGCACCATGCCTGCCTCACAAGCTCAAGGTCCTAACTTTGATCCCTGGTCCCAAAAAGAAAAAGCAGTCTCTTTGAGTTTCTGGTTTTGAGTGGTTTTTGAGTTATCTCCATAGTTCTTGTGTTCTTCTTATACCTTTGGTTTTACTTTTAAATTTATTTATTGTTTTTATAATTGGATAATAAATTCACATAGTTAAAATTCCAAAGATGTATAAGTGAAAGTCTCCCCTTGACTGTTGCCTCCTAGCTATCTAGATGGGTAACCTTTCAAGAGGTAATCACCAATATTTCTTTTTCCTTGTATGTGTTGTAAATAAACATCCTATGCACGTACAAGCTTACCACATGTAACACACATGCATACACACATTATTTTCCTTTAATGACAATGATTTTTGGGGTCGGGGATTTAGTTCAGTGGTGCTGCACCTACCTCACAAGCACAAGCTTCTGAGTTCAATCCCCAGTACCACCCCCGGAAAAAAAGTTTTGTTTTGTTTTGTTTTTAGACAGGGTCTTGCTATGTAATTCAGGCTAGCCTTGAATTCCCAACAGTCTTCCTGCCTCAGCCTCCCAAGTGCTGGGATTATGGTTGTATGCTACCACGCCTGGCTTCCAATAAAGATTTAGCTCATTCCCTCATTCCTACTGTCCTCAGAATTTGATAATTATTATTATATTTATTTATCTTATCTTTGTCAATAACAAAATTATGCTGGGGCTGGGGGTATTACTTAGTGGTAGGGGGCTTGCATAGCATGACATGTGCAAGGACAAGTGTCTGTTTCTAGTGCTGTCAAGAAAAAAAGTATTTTTTTATTCCATCAACAGTAGTTACCTGTGTTTTGTTTTGTTTTTGCAGTACTGGGGATTGAACCTGGGAGGGCTGAAGTACTTCTCCAACCCTTTTTAATTTTATTTTCAGACAAGATCTTGCTAAATTGCCCAGGCTGGCTTTGAACTTGTAATCCTCCTGCCTTAGTTTTCTGAGTAGCTAGGATTATAGGTGTACACCACTGCATCAGGATAACAGTATTTTGATTCCCTTTTATGCAAGAAGAATATTAGGAACCCTACCCGTGTACCTTTCCTCCTCTTTTTCTCCTCAGTTCCTGGCAGCTATAATCTTTTGTACTGACAATTTTGACATTCATATGCTCCTATATGACTATATTTAAGTCTTCCATTCTTTGTCTAAGGTTAATTCTAAACATTAAACTGCAGTTAATATCTTTAATGTAGTTATGTGTATGAAAATACTGCCAGGCCTGGTAATGTGATATTCTTAATAGTTGCTGAGTTACCATCTTAAAGAATGCTCCTAGTGTTAAAATCAAATGTTTTCTCTTTTCTTACGTTCCATCAGTTGCTTAAAATCATGTCACATTTTTATTTGCTTCATATTTAGATTGTAACTTTCTTATATAACTTTTTACTTATCTTGGAGTTTCTAATTACCTTTCTTTTTTCTTATTGATAAAAGAATGATGAGCCTTCAGTATATCCTGAAGTTTATCCAGCTTCTCAGTCATGCTACCTGTTTCCTGGAGTCCATTTCCCCTACCCTTCCTGGAGGGCTCCATCCTCCTGCTCCAGTCTGAAGTGGTTGCTTTTCAGGCCTGCTGTACAGCTCTCAGCCTGGGTCTTCCCTTCGCTGCCCTCTTGGAATGGATCCACTATTTCCTGGTTCCCATGTTTTACTCTTTCTTGATTTTCTCCCCTATTTTGCTGGAGTGCCTATCAGGTAATTTCCTTAACATTGGGCATGTGGGAGGAATATACATTCTGAGTCCTAGCATAACTAAAAATATCTTTATTCTGCCCCCAAACTTTATCGAATATATATTTCTAGGTTCAAATTCATATTTTCTCAGGGTTTTGAAGATACTGTTCCATTGTCTCTTGTATCCAGTGTTGCTAGTGACAAGTCTGATTTTGACTCCAATTTCTTTGTAGGTGACTTGTTTATTTCTTCTCTGGAAGCTTTTAGGAATTTCCTGCTTATCTTTCAATTATTAGAGATTTCACAAGATGTATCTGGTGTATAATTAATTTTTGTCAATGATTCTGTCACAACTCAAACTTGTGATCCTCCCTCAGTGCTAAGATTACAGTCATGCACCACCTATGACTTCTTAACCTGAAGATGTAGTTACTTGTTTAGCATAGGAAGATTTTCTTCCATTGTTTTGTTTTGTTTGTTTTTTTGAGACAGGGTCTCACTATATAGTTGAGACTGATTTTGAACTCACTATGTAGTCCAGGCTGATCTCGAACTCACAATGATCCTCCTGCCTCAGCCTCCCAAGTGCTGGGATTACAGGTGTGTGCCCAACTTCTATTGTTTTCTTTATATTATCTTTTCCATTTTTTTCTGTTCTCTCTGGACTTCATCAAATGGTAGATTTCACAGGTTGATCATTTCTCTTATATTTTTCCTTATATTTTCCATTTTTCTATGTCTCTCTCCCTTTTTC